CCCCCCCCCCCCCCCCCCCCCCCGCTTGCTTTCTTCTGAATTGAATGACAGTGTCACAAAGGCCTGTCTAGGGATAGGTCTATTGTTTGTCCCAAGTCTTCTGTAGAATGAAAGCGCTGGTCAGACTCTCTTACCCTCTGCAGCATTTTGTTATGCATTTATGAATACTAATTAAATTACATGAATTACAATGTTGGCAGTGGAATGGGCTCAGTGCTCAGTGCTGGCTGGCCTTGGCCTGACTGTGCGTTTGAGTGGCACCTTCACAAGGTAGATTAATATCATGGCCATGATGCTGTCATGGGTTTTGAACATTGAAAATAAGTCAATTAACCAGCCAATTTTTTTTTTTAAGCCTTCATAAGATTTTATTTTCTTACTAAAGGTTCATGTTCTTTCCCCCCAACATTGCTAGTGTCTTTTACAGATCAGTTCAGGTTCTGAGAATCATTTTGACATTGTAAATGTGTTTATGAGTATTTTTTTTAGCACTTGAGAAGTTAAAATTATATCATTGAGGGATATCTTCTAAATGGGAGAAAGCCCCTAAAAGAATGTGGTAACCTGCATTATTCTCCCAGTGGAGCAAATTACTCACGATGCTTGGGAAGTCTTTTCAAATAATTTGGGACACTTTGCATATACCATCATTGCTTGACCATTCTGTCAGTTTCACTACTGGTCACCTGATGTACACTGCTTTATTTTTTTCTTTCTTTTTTTTTTTTTTTGCCTCTACTTTCCTTTTGCCTCCTCTTTGCTTCGTAACTCAATAGAAGTGCCCCAGCTCACTGACCTAAGCTTTGTTGATATAACTGATTCAAGCATCGGCCTGAGGTGGACCCCGCTAAACTCTTCCACCATTATTGGGTACCGAATCACAGTAGTTGCAGCAGGAGAAGGGATCCCTATTTTTGAAGATTTTGTGGACTCCTCAGTAGGATACTACACAGTGACAGGGCTGGAACCCGGCATTGACTATGACATCAGCGTTATCACTCTCATTAATGGCGGAGAGAGTGCCCCTACCACACTGACTCAGCAAACGGGTGAATCTTGACGTCTTCTGTGTTTGAGACATGGATGGTGTTGCATGCTGCTCAGTCACTGTGGTTAAATCTGGATGTTTCCAAGGAGAAGCCAGTGATTGGCCAGGGAGATGAAGGCGGGGCACATTCAGAGATAAGGGATACATCAGCCTAATTGCATGAAAACATATATAAATAGTCTCATGCACTTTTATTCAAAGCACAAACAGATTCGAAGATGAAGAACTCTAGATCTCTGATTTACGAAATGCAAAGTAGATTAAATTTGCAGATCTTGACGTTTGTTTTTTTTTAAGTATGACTATCAAACTGAATGACAAGCACCCATTTATACTAAGACATGCCTCCACAATGCACCGATGTGTGCTTCTTCCTCTTACCTTTTGATAAGATCCCGTGCTCCTTTGGAGCTAATAAAACACCCCCCAAAATTAGGGTGGAACAGAAGAAGAGTTCTCGGGGTTAGAAGACAGTGAGTCATAGGACTTTCTAGATAGTGCTGCTATACAGGGTAAAGAAACTCCTCTTTAACCACAGTCTAGAGACGAGCATGCAACATCTTAAAGGTTCTCTGCCCTGCATGGTAAGAAACATTGCTGAGAACCACTGTGCATGAACCCCTCACTTGTAAGTAGAGTTCACTGAATGGAATTACGGCAATGCAGTAGTGTGTAGATACCTCACTCCTGGGAAACTGAGGACCCCTTGTCTTTTTGTCTGTGTGCATGTGTTTCTTTGGAAAGTGCTGCTATGTATTCTTTGCTGTGTGGCAACTTAAGCCTCTTCAGCCTGGGATAAAAACCTTCTGTGGTATTGACATACTAAAACAACAATAACAACCACAATAAAAAAGGCAACCTATTTGAAAGTAGATTAAAATTCCTTAAAATGCATCGATCATGGCAGAAAGGTTAAAGGGGCCTAACAGTTTTCTCTATAGTGTTGTTTATTTATTTATTTTTTTAACAGTAGCATATCATGATTTAGATTAGGTTAGATTAGACTGTTTGCATGATTGTAACGGTTCTTTTCTGCATGAAATACTGGTTTTTACCTTTTCAGCTATTTTTTTTTTAGCTTTGACTTTAAAATCACATTAACTCAATCCTCTTTATTTGAAATCAGCTGTCCCTCCTCCCACGGATCTGCGATTCACCAATATTGGTCCAGACACTATGCGGGTCACTTGGGCCCCACCTCCATCCATCGAGCTGACCAACCTCTTGGTGCGCTACTCACCTGTGAAGAATGAGGAGGACGTTGCAGAGTTGTCCATTTCACCTTCAGACAATGCCGTGGTCCTAACAAGTAAGCCCTCAAACGTAACTCGTTCAGTAGATACTTAACTGGAGCACAGTGAATGGATTCTGAATTCACATGGAGGAACACCTAAGAGAAAGGAGAGCTGTAACAGAGAGACACACTCTCTAAGTTCAACAGGCAGCTCTGTAAACTGTGAAAGATAGAATAATTCTGCTGGAGTGGCAAACCTTTGATTGCTACAAATCATAGTGGAAAGTACCGTCTGTGAAGCGCCAAGGTGTCAAACACTTTCTGCTTCCACATAACTACACAAAAAATAAATGACTCCTGAATGAATTCTGTAACTAAGGAAAGAGTAAGAAACATGGGGATCAGCCTGTCTGGTTTATTGTCCTTTCTTGTGTGATACCTACCGCCAGCAGGTGATCTATTTAGCATTAAAGAACGCAGAATCAGTTTTGTGTGGAGAGAGGCAGAAGTTTAGTTCATAATTCAGAAAACATCTGTTTGCACCATTTCCCTGAAGCCTGAGAGTTTAGAAAACAACTGATATTTAATAGACAATTTATAGCAATTGTCTCATCCCGGGTCCTACTGGAAGACGATATTCTGAATTAACGAGAACAAGTGGTTGGAGTGTTGTAGGAAGATGGATAAGTACACAGGTTCCACAGGAGAGGAAAGTAGTTACATTTAGGTACATTCCCAAATATAGTCAGAAAACATCCTCTCCCTTTCAATGTGTCAAAAAAAGTGAAATACAAAGAAGCAGCATGACTGGTCTTCTTCCTCAGTTTGTGGCTAGGGACCAGAGTATCCAGATACGTAACTTGATTGGGGCTCATTTCTGTCCAATCAGTAGGAACCATATTGTCCAATATACTAGACCCCAAGCCTCGTGTTGGTACCCATTTAGCCAAACCCTGTCAAATGTTAATTATTTGTCTTAAGAGTCCTAATGCTATGACACCAAAGGAACTACCCCTTAGAGAAGTCATTATTACACTATTTTAAAGATAAAGCAGTTTGGGGCAGTGTAGTGAATCCAGGGGCACTGGATATATTCATTGTCTTGAATACATTGATGGCCCCGCAAGGACACATGTCAAATTTTGTCCATCTATACATCTAAACATTGCATAGCATGGAAGCTGCTGACCACCTCATAAGGTGGCTGTGATGGATAGAAGTAATGTGGACTCCCACAAGACTTTCATCAGTGGCCCTCACAGATGCCCTTTCAAATGGATGAAAGAGATATTAATGCCTCGTGTATACACTTGACTGGGTTCCATTTATACATGCGGAACTGAGGTGCTTACAGAGGCACAGGACAAAGTGTCTCTTACTTACAGATTATTTCCAAACGTAGATACCCATTTAGCTACAGGTAGGCTATGGGACTGAATGCTTGGATATTTTATCAGATGAAGTAGTCCAGGGAGTGCTGTGCTTTCTCATGCTCTCAAGTTTAAAGCCCATCCCACTTGCCTCTTCAGATCTCCTGCCTGGAACCGAATACCTCGTCAGTGTCTCCAGCGTCTACGAACAACACGAGAGCATCCCTCTCCGAGGAAGGCAGAAGACAGGTGAGCCGTGTTGGCAGCTCTCAGCTACCAACTTTAAGCAACTGAATGAGAGGTTGAGTCTATAGATGCATCTCCACCTTTCGTGGTGTTGGTAAATTACTTTTTATTTATTAATCGATTAATTAATTAATTAATTTTTTTCTCAGTGAGTGGTTTTTGCCATGGTATTTTCACATGCTCTGTGGATCTTCCTCTTCTGTTCCTCTCTATCCCTCTGCCAACCTTCCTGGTCCCCTTCCTCCCTGTAGCAGTATACTTTTCATTCCCATGTCACCTTGTCACCTATGACCCTTTCACCTCTCTCCCTGAAGGCATCTTCTTTTCTCCCCACATGCTCTTTTCTAGTTTCAGGACCTGTGCTCTGCACACACATGTAGATGCTCCGTACACACATATGAAAAATTAAAATCTAGGATCCACATACCAGAAAACTCGACTTTGTCTTTCTGAGACTGGATTGTTTTGTTTAACATAGCATAACAAAACAAAACAATGGAGTTCCCTCTGGTTCCTTGTGAATTTCACTGGATTCTGGTCCTAGTTATGGCTGTTGTGGTGGAAACACCGTGATCCATAGCAAATTGGGGAGGGAAGGGTTTTTTTCTGGCTTATACTTCCACACTGTAGTCCATCACTGAAGGAAGTCAGGACAAGAATTCAAGCATGGCAAGAACCTGGAGGCAGGAGCTGACGCAGAGGCCATGGAGGGCTGCTGCTTACTGACTTTCTTCCCATGGCTTCCTCAGCCTGCTTTCTTAAAGAACCCAATGGGCTGGACCCTCCCCTGTGAATCACTAATAAAGAAAAAGCCCTACAAGTTTGCCTTGATCTTATAGAGGCATTTTCTTAATTAAAGATTTTTTTCCTCTTAGATTAGCTTGTGTCAAGTTGATATAAAACTATTCAGGACAATACATAACCTTAGAAATAATCAGTATATTGGTATAGTGTAGAAATCGACTATAATTTTATATATTGTTTCAGTTACTTTGAAAAAGAAAAAAAAACAAATGTATTGAAAGCTGAGTATGGTCAACTATCAGTATCCTATAACAGGGTTTTGCCTACCTCCATATCGTCCTCGATGTCTAAGCTGGTGATTGTTGTCTTTTGCTCTCCGCCTTGGGTGGAAAAAACAGGTCTTGATTCCCCAACTGGTTTTGATTCTTCTGATATCACTGCCAACTCATTCACTGTCCACTGGGTGGCTCCTCGGGCCCCCATCACGGGCTACATAATCCGCCATCATGCCGAGCATTCTGCCGGAAGACCCAGGCAAGATCGAGTGCCGCCCTCCAGGAATTCTATCACCCTCACCAACCTTAATCCGGGCACAGAGTATGTTGTCAGCATCATTGCTGTTAACGGCAGAGAGGAGAGCCCCCCACTGATTGGCCAGCAATCGACAGGTAATTTTGTTCTTTAATCTGCAAAGAAATCCCATGGTATGGACTTTGTATGGTTTGGTGTAGGCCATGAGAAAGCTTCATGCCGCCCTTGTTTGCATCACTTGAAATGTAGATCGTGGCAGGAAGTACACAAAGAGCAGTGATGGAGCCAGGCGCTGCGATGCATGCATGCCTTTGATCCCAGCGCTCGGGAGGCAGAGGCAGGTAGATCTCTACAGAGTGAGTTCCAGACCAGCAATGAGACTCTATAAAAAAGGGGAAGACGGCAATGATAGACTGTGGCAAAAAGATCTCCAAGATTACACTTAAAAAATATTTTTTTTTTCCTCTGAGAAATTGTCCCCTGATCCGGCAATGTTCTGGTGGTTTTGCTGGTCAGTTTTTATTTATGATGTTTTGGGAGAGTCTCATAGTCCAGACTGACCCAGAGCTGGCTTTGTAGCCCAGGCTTAACTAAGATACTTTGCCTTGACTTCTGAGTGCTGGAATTACAGGCCTGAGCTACTACTTCCAGCTTGGATATTTACCATTTTTAAGACGGTTTCATTCAAAAACATAATATGGTACCAAAAATATTGTAAACCTATGATTTGTTTTTTTGTTTGATTGTTTGTTTAAGTTGGGCTTGGTAGCACAGACACTTGGGAGGCTGAGGCAGGAAGGCCTTCCTGGGCTGCTGTGAGTTCAAATTAGCCTGTACAATTCAATGAGGCCTTGTCTCAAAATAAATAAAAGGTTTTTTAATGGGGAGCTATGGATGTAGCGTAGTGGTGGAGTGCTTGGTGTGGCGTGAGTCAAGCCCTAGATTTTGTCTTTAAGCACAGATATATTTTCAGTGACAATGTTTGGGAGACCTGTTATTAGGACAATCTGTAGCTTAGCTATGAATAGAGGTGTGTATGACCACTGTTTCCAAATAGCACATGGTTAACGGTGTAAAGGTGGGATCTCTGAGTTCCAGGCCAGCTTGGTCTACAAAGCGAGTTCCAGGACAGACAGGGCTGTTAACACAGAGAAAGCCTATCTCAAAAAAAGCAAAAGAAAAAAGAAAAAAAAAGTGCATGAGTGAGGGCCACTGTAGTTTTTATAACTTCTGTGATTTAAATTATTTTCCAAAGAAAATTGTGAGGAAAAAGAATTCACAATTTGAATGATTTCCCTAGCCCCTCCCCTTGACCTCTCCATAGATTTTAATTCTGCTAATTCAGTGTTGCATTTAGATTTTTTTTTTTAAATGAAGGAAATGTAACAGTTATCTAGGAAAAGACAATGAGTGAATCTGAGCTTTCTTTGGAAGTTATGGATGTGAAATATCTCTGTGATTTTTCTAGTTTCTGATATTCCGAGAGATCTGGAGGTCATCGCTTCCACTCCCACCAGCCTGCTCATCAGTTGGGAACCCCCTGCTGTCTCTGTGCGCTATTACAGAATCACCTACGGAGAGACAGGTCTGTTCATTGTGGGTCAGTTCCCTCCTAGGGGATCAGGGTCTGGGTGGGTAACTTGGAAATCTAACCGTGGGTAGAGCAGTAAATGCTAGAAATGCTAGCAGGCCCATTTAGAAAATCTCTCTCTTTTTTTTTTTTCTATCCAAAAATGCATGGGAGCTATGTTTAGTTGATTATAAAATGAGGTTTAAATGTTGTTTATACACTGCAGCTAGGGTGGGAAGCAGAACTTTGAGAAAAAAAGTTCATATATTCACAAATATTATCATTGGTAATTCTCAACTATTTTTGCTTTTCATTGTTCTCTGTATTTAACAAATTCTGTTAACACACAAATTCTGTATTTAACAAGTTCTGCTAATGTCCTTCATTCCATTTTAGGTTCAGTAAGCCACATTTTTATCCCCTTTTTCTATTTAATTTAAAATAATTAAAATATAATTACATCATTTCCTCTTTCCCTTTCCTTTTCCAAACTGTCCCACGCCCTTCTCCCACCACTCCTTCCCAATTTCTTGGCCTCTTTGTCTTACCATTACACACACACACACACACACACACACACACACACACACACAGAGTGCATGCACATCCAACAAATATGTATAAATACAGCCTCCCGAGTCTGTTTAGTATTGCGTATATGGACGATTTTAGGGCTGACTACTTGGTATTTTATTATCAAATAGGGAGCTCATTCCTGGGGATTTCTTCCCCTTTTGCCTGTTAATCTGCAACTCAGTGACATTTTAACCCAGGGATGTTAAAATGACATTAGCTCGAGAGGTCTCCTGGTTTTATATACTTATCAGGGCTTACTACTCACATCAATATACTTGGCTGTTGAGGCTGAGTTAAAGCAGCCACTCCTTATGAGGGAGCCTGCACGCTGCAGTGATTTACATACTGCTTTCAGTGTGTTAATAATACTGGAGTAACTCCTGGCTCCTCAAATTCTCTGCTAACTCCTTTCGTACAGGAGGAAATAGCCCTGTCCAGGAGTTCACTGTGCCCGGAAGCAAGTCCACAGCAACCATCAACAACATTAAACCAGGAGCAGACTACACCATCACCCTGTATGCTGTCACTGGCCGTGGGGACAGTCCAGCAAGCAGCAGGCCAGTTTCCATCAATTATCAAACAGGTACCGGTTTCTCTTCTGGGGTAACACAGGGTTATTTATAAAGATGGTTATCCCCGTATTCATCCAAGGTATTTTCTTCACTGTGCAATTGATTTTTCTTTAGTTTTGTGTGATGCCAGCGATCAAAAACAGCATCTCATATATATGTATATATATGTATATATATATATGTGTGTGTGTGTGTGTATGTGTGTGTGTGTGTGTGTATATATATACATATATATCAAGTGCTGTATCACTGAACTACATCCTTGACCCTGATTTATTTTTCTTAATAAAACAAAAGCCTGTAGCTAACAGCACCTACAAGTAACAGAATCTTGAGACAAATGTACAAAGAAGACCTCAAGAGCAGACATTTTTGTCTGTGATTGAAACTGCTACAGCCATGTATCTGCAATAGACATAGGGGGCATGTAGAAAATGACTGGATGGGTCGACTGATTAGGAGACAAAAGCCTGCCTGAGATGTAGTGCTTTGTTTGTGGAATGAAAGAATCAGGTTGCAAATAGTTGTAATAGTGTCTGGATGCATGGCTTCCCTTCTTCAAGCTAACCCCTTTATTCTTGTCAAAAGAACTACCTGCAATACATTAATAGAAGCAAAAGATCATCTGCATACACACTAGATCTAAAGGCCAGGGCTTATCCAGTTCTGCCCCCAAGGACTGGGACGTCACTGCGTTCTTTTGTACTTACAGAAATTGACAAGCCATCCCAGATGCAGGTGACCGATGTCCAGGACAACAGCATTAGTGTCAGGTGGCTGCCTTCAAGTTCTCCTGTGACGGGTTACAGAGTGACCACCACTCCCAAAAATGGCCTAGGACCATCAAAAACTAAAACTGCCAGTCCAGGTAAGAAGAACCAGCATGTCACACCTAGCAAGATAAACATGGTAGGAGCTCAGAAGTTCCCATTTGGAGTGTCCTATGTGGTGTGTGTCCGGTGCTCCTATTCACGGGACTATTGCCAGCTCAGTTCACTGGACAAGTTAGTGTTCATGTATTTCAGGTCTTATTTTCTTTATACTGTCTTGTGTAATATGGACTATTTAAATCCTTAGTCACTAGGAAGAGAAGGCTGTACTGATGTTGTAGATCCTTCTAGATCAGATGTTCTTATTATATAAAATGGCTTGCAAGATCTATGGTCTCAAGGCAGTTTCTTAAGATCAATTTAATTTCTTCTTTTCAAGAATAGCTTCATCAATTTGGGGGGCATCATGTTAAGTTGTAAAGCTTATTCTTGAATGTGATTTTACTGCGGTATGCTAAATATTTTTTTTGAGACAGGATCTCATGACATCTGTGCTGGCCTTGACTGTACTACGTAGGCAAGGATGATGTTAACTTCTGATCTTCCTGTCTGTACCTCCTAAGTGCTAGTACTATAGACATACAGTTTACTGTGCTGCTGGGTATTGAAGCCTGGGTTTGTTTATGGGAACAGCATTCTAACATCTAAGCTGTGCTCCCCGTCCCCAATTTTGTCATTTTTCCTGAGAGGAAACAGGCATCTGATTCTCCCAAGTGAAATGGATGTTTAATGATTATTCTGCAAATGAAAATCATAGGCTCAGCACCTGCTTTTCATTGAGCTCTTAGGGGTGGCTCGGGTGGCTCGGGTGGCTCTATAGACCTGCAATTGCCTCTCCTTCCTTTTCAGATCAAACAGAAATGACCATTGAAGGTTTGCAACCCACAGTGGAGTATGTGGTTAGTGTCTATGCTCAGAACCGGAATGGAGAAAGCCAGCCTCTGGTTCAAACTGCAGTAACCAGTACGTAACCAATTCTACTTCCAAAGTCGTATTGTTCTCGGGTGTCCTGATGTGTCCCTCCCATCCCCCCTGCACATCTCGTGCTGTTGTATACAGGGAAAGACAATGTGTCAGCTGGCTCATATCTTAAGATGAGTCCTTGGCCAACATTTTTTTCTTCTTGGTGCCACAGCGAGCTTGCAGGAAAAATCACTGTAGTGTCTGCCGTGCTTTGAATCGCCTCCTTCGCTTCAATAGCCTCAGCAAAATCTTATTTGCTTTTAGCAAGTCTATGAACTATTTCTCCAGGACCTACTTTTTCTATGACTGGATGGTACCGTTGACTGTAGTATGCCCCAAGAAGTGCTTATGTTTGAAGAGCTGTGGCTGGCTCAGCCTTTTAATATAAAGACTTAATAGAGGGGGAAAAAAGAATCTAAGATGAATTTAAGGCTTGAAAAATCAACTTTACCATTTCCAAGATATAGAAAATCCAGGTCCTTGAGACTAACATCACATTACAGAATCAAATCTAGAATATCTTTAAATTGATACAAATAAATTTCCTTTGTGGAGATTTTTTTTTCCGGGGTGTCTACGTAGCTCACACACACCTTGTTTTAATAAGTAACGTGACACTGCATACGCTAAGCCTCAAAAAAAAAAAATGAAAAACCCTTTTAAGCAAATGTGAAGTAACTTTCTGTTTTAATAGTGTGATAATTGGAATTTAATTCATCAAAGAAAATGGTATCCGCAGAACTGCTCTGCATGGTATAAAAATCTGCTTGTTTCACAACTTGCTTTTCACATAACCTCTTACCATTAATTTGCCTAACAGACATTGATCGCCCTAAAGGACTGGCATTCACTGACGTGGATGTCGATTCCATCAAAATTGCTTGGGAAAGCCCACAGGGGCAAGTTTCCAGGTACAGGGTGACCTACTCGAGCCCTGAGGATGGAATCCATGAGCTTTTCCCTGCACCTGATGGTGAAGACGACACTGCAGAGCTGCAAGGCCTCAGGCCGGGTTCTGAGTACACAGTCAGTGTGGTTGCCTTGCACGATGATATGGAGAGCCAGCCCCTGATTGGAATCCAGTCCACAGGTATATCGTTAACCGCACCGCCTGGGTGCTTATGGGAGCAGTGGCTTTATGCCTTGCTGACGTTATACTTTTACTGGGCTCTTGATTCCCACCTAAGGGAGAGTAGAAAAATGCCCTCAAGGTCTTAGAAAGGGCCCTCTTTAACGAGGAGTGGAAGCAAACAGTGAAAGTCAGGTGATACTTAGTAAACCTAAGTCTAATAACGAGAAATTTAAAGTAGCTAAGCATATATGTACAAATATATTAAATATGTATATTTAAAGATTATAAAGCAAGACATTTGAAGATACTAAATTGTGGATTATTTCCTAAGTGACACACCTCTGTTGGTGACCCTTCCTCTCCACACATGAAGGAAAGAAGTCTAGAATCATAGAACTTACTCTGAGAATTGACCCTAAGCCAGGCATTTTCTTGCAACATGATCAAAGAACAAACACATGGGTAAGATCTCCCCTGGCTAGTTATCCTGCGCTGGGCCTTCATTTGCTTAAAGGATTATGATCCAGATGCACAGGGCAGAGCCATTAGGACAAATGCTTCCTACAGTCCTTTATCCTCTCGTGCTTTCCTTCTGGAGCATGGTTGGAATGCTCAAAGCATATAGAGGTGACAGTCTGTGTTACTGCTCTCTGCTTCTCTTTCTTGCCTCTATTGTGAACCAATTTTCTTCTTATGCTGCGCCGCAGAGAATACTTCAAATTTCGCAGTGATATCTGCCGTGGGATCCAAATGCAAGAGGCAATAAAACCAATTCTATCTCTTGGATGGAATACTCTGTGAAATGGTTTCCCATACAAAGATAATATATATAGAAAAAGGGGGCCATTACTCATCTTTTTCATACAAATGAAAAAAAAAATCATTTCTAATGACTAATAAGGGAATTCAACTCTTGATTTCTAAAGGGGTAGAGGGATAAGACCCGAAGTCTCCTGGAGTCCTGGCATTTACCCAGGTGTTTCCAGTGGTTCAGAGAATTGCCAGTATAAAACACTCGTCTGGTGTCTCCATTTTTATTACTTGTTTGGGCTGACTCTCTGCTGGGCCAGGGAGTCCACCAGTCCCTACAAGAACAATCCATTCTCCTTTTTAAATTTTGCTTTATTTCCCTTTTCCTCGTTCCCTATAAGATAACCTTTTAACCAATGACCATCCTGACAGCCATTCCTGCGCCAACCAATCTGAAGTTCACTCAGGTGACACCCACCAGCTTGACTGCTCAGTGGATAGCGCCCAATGTTCAGCTCACTGGCTACCGAGTGCGGGTGACCCCGAAGGAGAAGACAGGACCAATGAAAGAAATCAACCTTTCTCCAGACAGCTCATCAGTGATTGTATCAGGGCTCATGGTAAGAAGTGAGCGTCCATCTGTGGAGCAAGGAAGTAGGTCATTCCATAGCGTTTATCAGGAGCAATCTCATAGTGAACCTAATGTGCTTTCCTTCCACCATCAAATAAGCTTGTCATTCTATTCATAAAAGAATAGAATTCTTTTATGTTGACCTAGGATTTTCTAGAGAAACTAAGATGACTATTGGATTAGAATGGTGTAAATAGCTTTGGATTTCATGCAGGTCTTTGACAGAAATATTCTGCTTTTTTTGTTTTTTAAAATTGGTATTCTGTGGGGAGCAATTTCTATATCCACTCTGACTTAGTTTATGGTTGTTATGTATGAGTGGTGTTTCCTTGGCAAGAAGCATTCTCCAGTTAGTACCAATGTAACGTGGCACTACCCTCATTAAAACATTTGAAAATCAGCCAGGTATACTTTAATCCAAGGAGGCATACATAATAAGTGGTGGATCTCTTGAGTTCGAGGCCAGCCTGGTCTACGGAGCGAGTTCTAGGACAGCCTTCAAAAAAAAAAAAAACCCTGCCTCAAACAAGCAAGGAAATAATATTTAAAACTCTTTCTAGGCATGCAGAAATTAGCTAGGATCCCTATAAGGGCTTAATGCACATCTTAACACAAGACCAGTTCCAAGGGAGGCAGCAGAAGTGAGGTCAGAGACAGAATAGAAACTTTCTCTTGCTTTTCTGTGATCAGAAAAAAGCAAAACATGATTTACACCTGTCAGATCATAAAGGCAAAAGAAAAAATAAACTAATACTGATTGTTTTTTCTTATTCTTACTACCACTTGTGGATTGCTTGGTCTTAACCCCTGAGAACATTTTAAAATTCACTTAATTTAAATGTGTTGTCAATCACAGGTAAAAGTGAGGTTGCTCTGGGAACCAGAAGTGTTGGGGTTTGCTGGGTATACAGATGGACTTTTATAATCACTGCATTTCTCTAATGCTTTGGTAGGACTCCAGGCTTCATGCAACACCATTGCCAAAGCTTCTCATATCCTTCTTTCCAGGTGGCCACCAAGTATGAAGTCAGTGTCTATGCTCTCAAGGACACACTGACAAGCAGACCAGCTCAGGGAGTTGTCACAACTCTGGAGAGTGAGTAGTCCGATGTTTTAATACTGACAGACCCTGAGTGTAAGTGAAAATGAAAGATCTTTAAATTAAACCACTGACTTAACCATAGAATTTGGAAATTCATAGAATAGCTTATCGTTTCGGGAACCCACTTTGTATGCCATCCAGAAAATGGCCCACTGAATCAAAAATGGAATCACTTCCCTGTGTTGTGTTGGTGCCGATGGGTTAGAACTCACAGCTGGTTTACGCTGTACTGGTGAGGGTCAGTATTCATAGAGTTCAGTGTGGGAAAGATGAACTGGCTTCTGCCACAGGAAATACAAGGCTAAATTAGGTCTATGGTCTAGTCTATTGATGCTTAATCACCTATAGAATGATTAACATGTGAAGCCTTATAGAAATGACAGAACACTAGTCACCTATACATTATTACTAATTGTCTATATTATAATTCCTACCGTACATTCTCACATATCAATCATTGTGACTCTTGTTTGACATATTTCTAGACACTACAGTGTCAGCCCTGGGAGCTACTGATAGTATTTAGAAAGCTTTTCCATCTCTTCAAAGGAAAGTCCTGAGAATGAACATTTTCCTATTTCCTCAGTACCGTTAACCTATCTTTCTGATGTCAAAGGGCGTAACCTACACATTATTAGACGGTGTATTTCCTGAAGTGGATGTATTTGTGTAATGAGGGCTCATTTTAAAATATCAGAACCTTACATACATGAGCCAAACATGCATTAATCTCTAGCTCTGCTTCTATGCAGATGTCAGCCCTCCAAGAAGGGCCCGTGTGACAGACGCTACAGAGACCACCATCACTATTAGCTGGAGAACAAAGACGGAGACAATCACTGGCTTCCAAGTCGATGCCATCCCAGCCAATGGCCAGACCCCAGTTCAGAGGACCATCAGCCCGGATGTCAGAAGCTATACTATTACAGGTCAGTGCACGCCTGTGTATGCCCCTGCAGGATAGACTGGCTTGTTAGATATTCTGGGTCTAGTATTAAGAATGTCATCACCATTCCACGATCCTGTTGACTTTTGTTTGACCTATAAATCTCATTCACACAATTCATTGTTTCATAAAATGTTCATTATTGTTTAATGAAAACCTGCATACCTATAAGTCATATGCAGGAGTCTGAGGCAGGGGGATGTGAGTTTGAGACCAGACATAGTGAAACCCTATTTTTTAAAAAAAAGTTAATACAGAGAACATAAAGATATAAAATAGTAACATATAGTTCTTAGCATTAGCATGCCCAGGTTTTTAAAAGCATAATGAAATTTATACTTACAAACAGCACTACATATAATAAAGATGGAAGCTGTAATCAGAGATGATTCAGTATCAGGACATGCGTGAGCTTTTAAAATGGGCTTCTCGTTAATAGTGACCTGTCCACACCATGAAGCACTTTACGCTTCCCCTGTGAACTGTTTCTGGCATGGTACAGGAGTCAAGGCAATTGTCGGCAAGCATGAGAACTCCGTGTGGAGTAAGAATGGATTAGAAAGGTGTGTCTTTTCAACTTCCAGGTTTACAGCCGGGCACTGACTACAAGATCCACCTGTACACGCTGAACGACAATGCCCGAAGCTCTCCTGTGATCATCGATGCCTCCACTGGTAACTACGCTTTCTGTGGAGGAAATGTCAACTGGTGCATATTGTAATCAGCCGTGTAAACTTTAGAAACAGCCAGGGAGCTGGAATTTCCATGTTCTAGCTCCCGAGACTCTCGGGTTCTCTTCCTCCTCTGTTTGCTAGGCACAACTGTAAGATTAGTTTCATGGCCATTCACTTTCTAAGGTGTCTCTTTGCTTGCCTTTCAGCCATTGATGCGCCCTCCAACCTGCGGTTCCTGACCACCACACCCAACTCCTTGCTGGTATCATGGCAGGCACCTCGTGCCAGGATTACTGGCTACATTATCAAGTATGAGAAGCCTGGATCCCCTCCCAGAGAAGTGGTCCCTCGGCCCCGCCCCGGTGTCACAGAGGCCACCATCACTGGTATTGCTTCCCTTAATCATAGATACCCCAAATCTATAATACTCCCCAATTGTGTCTTTGATGCTATTTCGTGAGAATGAGGTGCCCAGACTCTAGATGTTCGTTTTAGGGACAGTAGTGTTCTCAAGAGGTATGAGTGACTGAGCATGTAATTTCAGTGCTGTCATATGACACAGCTATGATGTACGACCCTCTGATGTAAATTCTTCATTATTTTTGCCACCCTCCTCCCAAATAAGATAAATTGTATATATAGTATCTCCTGGATGTTGAAGTCCCTAAAACACAGAAGTATAAGGAGATCACAGCTTCTTTGTTGCATTTATGGAACAAGAAAATAAAGAGTCTGATATGGGAAGGCTTAAGCAGGAGACTTCCTAACTTTTGCTCTGTCACTGACAGCTGTCCATGATTAGGTCTAAATAGAAGTCTGAAGTCTCTGACAATCTCTCCCAAATGTATATGTTCCACTGGCAGACTACTGCATAGTTTATCTATAGGCTGAAAGAATCCTCTAGAAAGTCTACCAGGAAACTGCTCATTCAAGTGTCAGCTGAGGTTGTAAGATGATAAACTGGCCGACCGGCCTTTGGGTGCGCAGTGTAGGTGAACAAGAAGTGAAGCTGATCTCCCCCTTAAGACTTCACAGACAGCCGAGAGGAATGCTTACTCCCCAGTAGCCTCTGCTGAGCCGATAACTGGCCATGCCTGCCAACGTAACAAAATGGCTGTGTTTCTCATCAGGTCTAGAGCCAGGAACCGAGTACACCATCTACGTCATTGCCTTGAAGAACAATCAGAAGAGTGAACCCTTGATTGGGAGGAAAAAGACAGGTAAAGACTCATAACAGTGGTTGGTTTGCAGGGTGAAGTTCTCTACGTTTTGACACATCTCTCATGGGTTTTTTTCCCTAGCAGAATGGCTTATATATTGTACTGTTGGGCAGGAATCACCTAACATGCTCTAAAAATATCTGGTTCATTTATTTTCCTATAACCTTTAGCCTCTTTTACCTTGCAGAAATTCAAACCAGATAGTTTGAATTGGAGGTCGGGGGGAGCTTTTAAATGGTGGGAGTAAAACCTTTCTGATTTGTCCAGATTTATTTATTATTTGATTCCTGAACTTCAACTATTTCAATTAGTTGCAAAGGCTTAATTGCAGCAGAGTTGGCTTTCTGTGGGGCTCAGCGGTTCAAAGCTTTGTCTGTATGAGAATTTATACTAACATTTTTCCCCCATCTAAACTATGAAGAAATCTGTGAGAAAAAAAAAATCAAGATTTTCTTCTATAGAGTGTTTTGTGATTTGAGAACCGCTGGTTGTCTGGGAGCATTGATCGGGTTGATTGACATCAAGTTGTTGCCTGGATTGACGGTGATTGGTTGCTTCTTTGAGCTTAACGCGCTTTGCTTTTTTGGCTCTAACCTCTCTTGGCTAGATGAGCTTCCCCAACTGGTTACCCTACCACACCCCAATCTTCATGGACCAGAGATCTTGGATGTTCCCTCCACAGTTCAAAAGACCCCCTTCATCACCAACCCTGGGTATGACACCGAAAATGGTATTCAGCTTCCTGGCACAACCCACCAACAACCCAGTGTTGGGCAACAAATGATCTTTGAGGAACATGGCTTTAGGCGGACTACGCCACCCACTGCGGCCACCCCCGTCAGGCTTAGGCCAAGACCATACCTGCCGAATGTAGATGAGGAGGTCCAAATCGGTCATGTTCCCAGGGGAGACGTAGACTACCACCTCTACCCTCATGTTCCGGGGCTCAATCCAAATGCCTCTACAGGACAAGAAGCTCTCTCTCAGACAACCATCTCTTGGACGCCATTCCAGGAGAGTTCTGAGTACATCATTTCATGCCAACCTGTTGGCACCGACGAAGAGCCCTTACAGGTATATTACAGCCCTTGTAGGTATCTCTCTATGTAACTGTGTCATCCAGAAGCAACCAAAACTTCATGTCAGATGTCTGGCCTCCCAGGAGAGATGCTATAACTCTGGTTGGGAGTTGTTTGACTGTTTTCTCATTGTGACTCAGAGAGCCTCACTGAGCTTGACTCAGTAGAGAAAATAAAATTATTTTTATTATTGTCATACACTGGAGACTACTTAGTGAGATGGATAAAACAATGATCTTAGGAAGAAAAGGAAAAGTAATTTATATGAGGTTTGAAATGCCACCCTTGGTGTCTGTCCTTGAAGAGTCACGTTATCTGTTATGTGTCAGGACTAGGTGAAGCTTGGGTACCAGCTGTTATAAGAGATTGATTCTCCAAAACTCTCTTCTTTAATTTGTCCCACAGGTGCTAGAATCAATTTTTATTGTATTATTTTTAGAAAGTGGCAGAAATTTTAAAATTGACTGTACCACAGGACATTTATTAGCTTAGAAACTTCAGTCTGGGGATGTGCCAGTATTTTAGGAAAACCCAAGTTCTACTGTGTTGGCAACTTGCATGGCACATGCTGTCCATCTGTGGTGCTCATATTTATGAAGGGGGTTTTGCCAAGAGTTCTAGTGCCCACAAGATTCAGAGGAGGTTGGTATAGCTGAGGGTTTCTGGGAATTGTGGAACACCTAGGTAGAAAAAATCTAGCAGAAATAATGGTTCTTTCTTTTAAATTATTCTTTTAATAATGTTTTATGTACATTAGTGTTTTGAGTGCATGTATGTCAGTTTGAGGATGTCAGAAGTCCTGGAACTGGAGTTACAGGCAATTGTGAGCTGCCATGTGGGTGCTGGGAGTTGAACCCAGGTCCTCTGGAAGAGCAGTCAGTGCTTTTAACCACCAATCCATCTCCCCAGCCCCAAAATGATGGTTCTTTACACTCATTTAATATCTCATCTTGACTGGGTAGGAATGCTGTGTATACCTGTTTGCTCCCTTTGTCATTTTTAAATGGGAGTGGGGAATTACTTATAGACTAGGGAAGTTATCACTGTAATGATAATGCCTATTTCTCATTGTAATGCTTTCTCCCTGCTTTGGATGAATAGTTCCAAGTTCCTGGAACTTCTACCAGTGCAACTCTGACTGGCCTTACCAGAGGGGTCACCTACAATATCATAGTGGAGGCACTGCAAAACCAGAGGAGGCACAAGGTTCGGGAAGAGGTTGTTACTGTGGGCAACACTGGTAGGTACACTGCTGGCCTGTTCTAGCATATGCTTCTTGCTGGATCATCTCAGAGAAGGCTTGCTCTATTGTTCCTGGTTGTCTTTGAACTTAGGAAAATAAGACTACACAACAGTCAGAAATGTCCCCTTATGTAATACCAACATGTGTATGATTGACAGGATGCCGAGCCTGGGAGGGACATTAATATTTTAGTCTAATACATTTTGCCCTTCCTATTGAGGATCCAGTTAATAGAGGCAGTGGTTTCTTGGTACCTTTTACTATTCTCTCATCCTGTACCCAAATAGAATACCCATAAATAGTCCTCCTTGACAATGTTAAGTGATGCATTAGGTTTTGTTCCTAATGTAAAACAATACCAATATTGCCCCTTTCTTTCCAAAGAGCTCCCCATTCCAAATTTCTATTTTATATACTTTATTTTCTTCTTTTTAGATGTACTTATTTTAATGTTATGTGTGTGGGTGTTTTGCCTGCATGTATGTGTGCAATATGCATACAGCACCCATGGAGGCCAGAAGAGGGCGCCAGATCCTCTGGAACTGGAGTTATAGATGGTTGGTAATTAACATGTAGGGCTACTCAGTGCTCTTAACTACTGAACCATCTCTCCAGCTCCTTTATATGTGTCTTAACACACACACACACACACACACACACACACACACACATACACACACATGTCATGTTATATACATGCAAGCTCTTAATAAAGGTTAAATGGCCATCATACAAACTTAGTAAAGATTAAATGTGTCCCATGCAAAATCTTCATAAAGATGAAAAACCGCCATACAACATTTTAATAAAGGTTAAATATAGTTAATCCTGAAAAATCGTAATAAAGGTTGAATGACCTTGACTCTTTTGTGTATCCTCTGAAAAATCTTTTGAAGCCAGTGGTGTGTCATTTGGCTTTTTAAGTTGCAATAGCTAAAGATTCACCAAGGAGCATGAGTTAGGGACTAACTGAGACTGTGGATCCCGAGTCTTCTTACACTGTAAGGGTTCACTCCCACTTCTTCTGGGGAGCAGGACTCTTGGGTAGGACCACTTACTTCTTTTCAGTCTCCTTCCTCTGAGAAAAGACTGCCAGTTCACTTGTAAACTTAGACGTTGCCACGTGTGGCAATGCAGAAGTGGGCAGATCCTGTGTGCCATCCACAGTAATTAGCATTTGCCTTTTGTGGTTTCACTCATAAATCCCAGTTGAAAGAGTTTTTTTTTTTTTTCAAAAGCATAGGGGTTTTGTGGTTTTCCACAACGTTTTCTTGAAGGGAAGGGGTATGTTTCAGACAGAGTCCTACTGTATAGTATACTGTGTGTATATAGTGTGCTGGACTGGAACTGCTACATAGTCAGGCTCCATGATGTTAGAACAGACTCTTAGATACTTTAAAACAGTGAATCCCCATGAGAGTTTCAGCCTCTTTGTTCTCTTTCCAACTCATGAGTCCATTCGTGTCCTTACTTACCAGGTCCTCTTGGTTTCAAAACATTTTAGACTTTTTAGTTCTTTCAGAATGATGGCTTTTAAAATATTAGGCATTTCAAATATTGATTGCATTTGCACTTTTGAGTTTTTCCACTATTAAAAAAAGCTATCTACACATAAGATTTAAAGTCATAGTAAGTTAGCTTATTTAATATTTAGAGAATAACTCCGTGTGCACTTTATTTATACAAATTATATCTTATTTATTTGCTATAAATGGGTATTGATGTTTTACCTGTATGTATGTCTGCACAATATGCATGCTTGGTGCCCATGGAACACAGAAGATATATCCAACCCAAAGTCCTGTGACTAGAGTTATTATAGACAGCTTTGAGACACCATGTGGGTGCTGAGAACTTAAGCTAGTTTCTCTGGAAAAGCAAACATTGGTCTTAACCACTGAGCTATCTCTCCAGCCCTTGATTAGTTTTTTAAAACAATTTTTAATTTTTTTTAATTCTAAAAATAAAAACTTCTAAAACAGAGGGGTGAAATCTTGAAGTCCACTGAGGCCTTTTTACTTATTCCTAAGTCTTCTGCACCATGGTGATTTCTCTTACTTGAAGAATCTAGTTTTACAGTAACCATAAGATTCTAGATTTTCAAACTATTTTGCAAAAGAAATGCTACAATGTAGGTAAAGATTGCATTATAATGTTATTATATTAAAAGGTTAAGACTTTTACTATAGCAAAGCATGATATCTAACAATAATTATTAATTGCTGGCTAACAATAGTTAGTGAGTAGTTTCTGCATAATGATGATGGGCCAGTGCTTTCATTTCTTGGTTTCATGTGGCCTTTACAAGATCCCAAATAATGGGGGTATTTATATTACTATCCCATAATAGATGAGGAAAGGGACGCACACAGATGTTAATTTGCTCGATACTCGGTTCTCTTGGAGAAGCATCATTGTCCACATTCTTAGCTAGTTAAAATGTCTGAGGATTTGTTTCATGTCATGAGAAACAGATATCCCAGGGCAGTGGTGGTGCACGCCTTTAATCCCAGCACTTGGGAGGCAGAAGCAGGCGGATTACTGAGTTCAAGGCCAGACTGGTCTACAGAGTGAGTTCCAGGACAGCCAGAGATATACAGAGAAATCTTGTCTCCAAAAACCAAAAACCAAAAACCAAAAAAAAAAAAAAAAAGATATCCCAAGAATTATTTGAAACAGAAGGAAGATATTCTTTGACCCTGCTGTGGCACGTGCCCGTTGGCTACATCAAAGTTGCTGATGAGAATATCTGTCTTATTAGTGGTGCTAGATTAGGTCACAATATACAGTACATCCGTTTCTTCATCAATAACCATCAATAAAATGTCTTTTCCTGTTTTTTCTTTCTCTTCCTTTTCTTAATAGTCAACGAAGGCCTGAACCAACCTACAGACGACTCATGCTTTGACCCTTACACGGTTTCCCATTACGCGATTGGAGAGGAATGGGAGCGGTTGTCTGACTCTGGCTTTAAGCTCACATGCCAGTGCTTGGGCTTTGGCAGTGGTCATTTCAGATGCGATTCATCTAGTGAGTAGCTTGCATTCTCCATCCACTTACTCTTCCATCTCTTCTGGTCTCATGCCATGCGTTCGCACTAGTTGGCCACGGAGGCATGTTTGGCAGACATGGGCTCTTCCAAACATGATGCAAACAGAAGTATACTGTTTGACTCAAAGTAACATTTTGCATCATAGAAGGATGATGGGAAATTTTACTTGTGGAATATGACTGCATTTCAAGAGTTGTGTACTAATCCAACTATTCCTCAAAAATATATTTGTAGTTGACCTTTACATATGCACTGTGGGACACTAATGCCCTTATGTAGACACATATGCACACACACATGAAAATCAATAAATGTAAAAAATGTTAAGATCAACTTTCACTGGAAAATATTTGAATTTCAAATTTTAAAGAGGTTAATTTTTTTAATTATTAGTGAAAATTTCCCTAAGAATTATCAATATGTCTAGAGTTTTAGTATTGGAATATATAACCATTTATTCTTTGTTTGTAGAGGTATAATTATTATTAGCTCTAGCGGTTTTTGTGTCTTTTTATGTGTTAATCTTATGTAATAGACATAGGCTTATGGACAATTATAGATCCTATATTTCATGGAATGATATTTAACAGATCTCAAAAGTTTTTTCTGTAACATTTTCCTTTACTTTTACATGAAATCGCAAAATCCAGATTGAAAATTTAAAATCAAAAAGTGTTTTCAATATGTGTAGAGCCCAGTGGGCAGTACGCCATGCTGGAGTTTATGGGAAGGATACCATTTGGCATCGACCAAGTGGTTTTTCAGTTCAGAGAGTGAACTACATTGAAGTTTGCATGTTTTTTTATAAGTCTGTGCTTGGTTGCAAATGTGGAAGTATACAATAACTTTATCTGTGAACCTTTGACTCAATGATCTTTGCTGAAAATGTCATAACTGCCGTATACATTTGCTTATGGTTTAAGGAAGGCTGAACTGTTGAACTGGAATAGCGACTGCTCTGTAAGAGTGTCGTAAGTGAGCTCTGTTTAGCATAAATCTTAGTGGTTAAGAGGCAGTTTACATATGATGTTAGACACAGCTCGAGGTGACTAGATACTTCTCAGCACTCATCTATTTGTACAAGCCTGATTCACTCATTTGTCGTTATTTTGTTGGTTGTTATATTTTTGTTTGTTTTTCATTTATATGAATCAGGTGGTAACAAGTGTTCTCTCTTTAATCTGTTTGCTTGTTTGCTTATTTTTATCGTTGTTTTATGAGACAGGGTTTCTCTGAATAACCCTGGCTGTGGTACACTCAGTTTGTAGACCAGGCTGGCCTCAAACTCAGAGATTGCCTTCCTCTCCCTCCACAGTGCTGGGAGTGAAGGCGTGCATAACCACGCCTGGCCTCTCTTTAATGTTTAATTAAACTGTTTTGTATCTAGGATCTCTGTAAACCCAAAACATATTTTTTAATTTTCCAGTTTAATTTTTCATAATTGTAAAATTTAAAAGGAGCCAAATGAATCACTGGTTGGTCCTCTGAAATGATTTTGGTGGTAGTGTTGAATCTTAACACTGGCCTGGAAAATATTAAATGTTATGGTGAAGAAATGCTTCATCATAGGAAATGTGATCTTGGACTTCCCACTCCATATGGATTCCTGTCCTGTCCCAGTGTTCTGCCCATCCTGGGAGTCAGAACATGAGTAACTCTCTGCCTGTGATGCTCCTACCTTGCAGAATGGTGCCATGACAACGGTGTGAATTACAAGATTGGAGAGAAGTGGGATCGTCAGGGTGAAAATGGCCAGCGGATGAGCTGCACGTGTCTCGGGAACGGAAAGGGAGAATTCAAGTGTGATCCCCGTACGTCATCCTAGCATTGGTTTCTAGACCTTTACTACTCCCATGGTCCTAACTGAGCCAAAACACTCATTTATGGGATAGGATGGGCATGGTGGGCTTGTCAGTCTCGTGGTTGGGAAGTCAGTAGCTTGCTTCAGAAGTAAATTGTGACTGAATGTCCTGTCCGAGCATTTTAGTACTCTCACAACCTGAGCATTTTGGTCCTCTGCAGTGAAACGTTATATAGACTCAGTTTTTAAAATATGACTTCAGTCTTTCCATCTGGTCTACTGTACCAAGGCTTTGGAACATCTTGTGAGTCACCTAAGTTGATGAGATTTGGCCTGTGCTCGTTCAGGTTGAGGACTGGTGCATCAACTTGAATCTACATGATTGTCCTTGGTCTTACAACCATTTCTGATATGTGCCCATATGCAGATGAAGCAACATGTTATGATGACGGGAAGACCTACCATGTAGGAGAACAGTGGCAGAAGGAATATCTCGGAGCCATTTGCTCCTGCACATGTTTCGGAGGCCAGCGGGTAAGAGTAGTTGGCATTTAGATAATGCACAGAGGAGGCTCCAACATGGATGTGCTGTGTGCACAGGTGGGCCTTGCCTCTTATGAAGAGTCCCTAAGATGGGTATCTTAGTTAGGGTGTCATTGCTGTGAAGAGACACCCTGGCCAAGGTAACTTTGATAAAGGACAACATTTAATTGGGGCTGGCTTACAATTTCAGAGGTTCAGTCCATTATCACCATGGCAGAAAACTTGGCAGTGTCTAGGCAGACATGATACGCTAGAAGGAGCTACAGGTGTTCTGCATCTTGATCTGAAGGCCAGGAAAAGACTGTCTTCCACAAGCAGATAGGAACAAGCTCTCTCCTGCAGTGGGCAGAGCTTGAACATAGGACCTCAAAGCCCACCCCACAGTGATTCACTTCCTCCAACAAGGCCACACCTACTCCAACAAGGAGTGCCACTTCCCATGGGCCAAGTATATTCAAACCACCACAATGGGTCTATCCCTCCCCAGTTGATAATAGCTTCAGCACCTTCTCCCATGACTAAAATTCTCAAGCTGTCCTGTTTGTCCTCACCTGAAGTGTAGCACTAAGCTTCTAGCTCTGTGCTGATGGACTAGCATCTAAGTGGCAGTATTGCTCACATTTTTAAGAATACTGTGATCTAAGAAAATGCCACTATTTTTGAGCCCTTGCTCAATCTAAAAATAGTTCCCTTATTATCACTCTAATACTGAGCTAAGTAATAATAGACAAACAGGGAAGAGTGGCCGAGGCTCTTAATGATATACTTGGAGACAGTAAATTAGCATACCCTGCCAAGCCAAGCTAATCACAGGAGAATTTGACTAATACAGTTCTGGATGGGCTGCAATCAGCAAGAAGTCTTCATAGACGAAAAGAGAAACATAAACCAACCACCTGGGGTTTAGGATAGCTATCAAGTGGGGAGGGAAGGAAGCAGAGACAGCATACTTCCTGGCCTAGGAAGAGCTGGCCCAGTGAGGCAGCCCTTCCACTGAAATCTTTTGGTAAGGAATTAGATTTGAGGAGGAAGAGAACTGTGGAAGACTGGGAAAGTCATTACTTAAGCCATTAATTCTCAGTCATTTTTAATGTATGCCCTTCTTCAATATAACAACAATTTCCACTCCATCTTTCAATTATTGAAATCTCAAAATGACTGTTAACTTAAATGTGGTGGCACACATCTTTAATCCCAGCACTTTGAGGAGTCAGAGGCAGGCAGATCTCTGAGGGCAGAGCACGTTCAGGATACCCAGGGCTACACAGAGAAACCTTGACTCAAGAAACAAAACAAACAAAGAAGGTAAAAGATCGGGCAGGTCCCACAAGTCTTCCCCTGACCCCCACATATGCTGGGGCACATGTGTGTATGTACACATATGCAAATAACTGCTTAACTTTTTAGAAATTAAATTGTTATATAAAGGGCTTGACCTTAAAGGGTCCCCAATGCACAAGATGCACAAGAAATAATGCCCCCACCCCCCACAGTGAAGTTTACCAGTTAATGCTACTGGCATTCACCAATGATTAAAGTAGCGTCATGGAAAATAGCCTTTTAAAAAATGAATCCAGGACCTGGAGAGATGGCTTAGTGCTTAAGGGACTGGGGGCCTGGACTTGGTTTCTCTCTTCACATGGTCCATGACATCCAGTCCCAGAAGAACTGATGTCCTCATCTGGCTTCCTTGAGCACCAGGCACACATGGTGCACAGACGTACATGAAGGCAAGCACTTATTACATAAAATAAAAACATATGATACATCTGTTTTTAAAAGAAAAATGGGCAATTAGTGTGGCCACAAGAAAGATTCTGTGTATCATCAGAACCTTCTTAGATCTGGGGCAGCCTATGGGATTAGCAATCTCATTTTATCCATTATTCATGGAGTGAACTGTCAGTCCCTGTCTGTCTGTCTCTTTCTCAGACAAACACATAGAAGCAGATCATAAAACTCAGTCACCATGGTCTTTGTTGAGTGACTTTGTTGGGAAGTAGGTTTTGGTCTTTCTTTAGTACTTCCTTGTTCCTTATGAACATGAATCTCTTTGAGTAATGCCTGCCTCTAAAGTTCTGAAACATTATGGTGGTGATTGTTAGGGTTTTATACGAAAGGATCTTGATTGCTTCTGTAAGCAGACCTTATGGAAAATAGGCTCTTAAATGGGGAAACAATGTCAAAAATGTTTAAATGATTCTGTAAGAAAGTGATTGTAGAATTTATTTATTTTTGAGACAGAGTCTCTCTGATATGTAGCCCTGCCTGTCCTGGAACTTGCTATGTAGACCAGCCTGGCCTTCAACTCACCTGCCTCTACTGCCACCACTACCCAGTGGCCTTATTTCTTAATTTTTTTTTCAAATATAATTGTAAAGTCTCGTTAGTAGTCTCATTAGATGGCTAGCTACCTGAACTCCCCCAGTCTGTGAACTTTAAGGGCTACTTTGTCCCAAGAGTGCCCCTCTTTTTATGTCTTTCTTAGTATCCATTTCCCCTAGGGTTTCTGCTTGGTGACATCATTTGCCTCATCAGCTCCAGTTTTCCCTCCTCCCAGCTCAGGAGCAATGAGAAAGCAAATTTGTGCCTAGCAAACCTCAGGAAGAAGCATAGGTGCACTCTGATGTCTTCCTGTACCCCATCCCATCTCTGGCCAGAGCTAAGGCTATAGGTTAGGGAGGTTTCAGATGGGACTGGAAAGAGAATATGGCCGGGTACCCAATTCTACCTGGGGCCCACTGTGCCCTTTCTACCTCCTTCAAGCATTCCTCTCCTGTGGATTTGTTCCTTTACCAGAAAGTGATGGAATTTGTCCACAGGCTCTCAAGTCATGTTCAGAGCCATAGGGTCTGTGAGAAACCTTCCACCTAGAGCAGAAAGCCTACCAAGGAGGAAGTTGGGGCCAAAGATGAGTAGAGAAAAAAAAAAGTGAAGATATTTCAGAAGAAAGAAAAGCATATGTAAACAGATTAATAAGCCAATATATATTCTAAGTTACAACTGCACACAGGCATCATTGAAGCTTCCTGATTAACTGGTTATCCTGCCAGTGGGCAAGAGCTGAAATTCTTTAACTCAAGCTCTAAGTTGTGATATTTGCAGGTTATCAGAAACTCTATTTAACTTTGTGTCTCTCCTCTCAGGGTTGGCGCTGTGACAACTGCCGCAGACCCGGGGCTGCTGAACCCAGTCCCGATGGCTCTACTGGCCACACCTACAACCAGTATACACAGAGATATCATCAGAGAACGAACACTGTAAGTGTACACATATTCCCCATGCCTCTGCCTGCTTGCAGTCAGGGTCATAGTATAGAGTCGGTGGACAGATGCTTTTCTTGAGTGAACCAAATGAGTTTTATTTGGAGAGAAGTCTTTTGTTCCTAGTTCAGTCCTCAGAACCCATGTAAAAAAGCTGGGTGCTGTGGCAAGTGCTTATAATCCCTTCACTGAGAAGGTAGAAATGGGGTGTTGGGGGAGTGTCCCTGGGGCTGTCTAGCCAGCCATTGTAGCCTCATTAATGAGCTTCGGGCTCGTGAACAAGGTGGACAGCATCTGCATGATTGAAGTTAACTACTGGCCCCTTATATATACAAAGTCTTATGAATGAATTATAACTTATTATAATTTACAAGATTCCTAAGCATTGTCTGTTGCTCAGTACATTGCTAGTCTTTTGAAACTAGATAGCTATCCTTTCTAATAAAACACCTATCATACATCCCCAGCCCCTCCGCCCAACACACACTTTTGTTTTTCAGAGTATTTGCTACTAATTCTTGTTTTGCTTGTATTTTGACAGAATGTAAATTGCCCCATTGAATGCTTCATGCCGTTAGATGTGCAGGCCGACAGAGACGATTCCAGAGAGTAATCTTTCCAGCCCAAACCAACAAGTGTCTCTCTACCAAGGTCAATCCACACCCCAGTGATGTTAGCAGACCCTCCATCTTCGAGTGGTCATTTCACCCTTAAGTCTTTTGCTCTGGAGTCAAGTTCTCAGCTTCTGCTCAACGTACAGCTAGCTTCTCCAAGCATCACCCTGCCGGATGTTTTGAGACTTCTCTCCTAAATGGTGACAGCTGGTTGCCCTGCTCTGCTTCAGGGTATTCAGTACTGCTCAGTATTGTTTAAGAGAATCAAAAGTTCTTGTGATTTGGTCTGGGATGGATAGGAAAACACAGGTAGCCAACCAAGATGAAACGTACTGAATGATAGTTCCCAAGATCTTGAGCAGGAAAGTTACCCAGACACTTCTGCTTTCTTCTGCCACCAGGCCTGCAGCACTGTCAGGAGGCATGTCCTGTGGCTGTGTGTTCAAACACCCCACAGGACTCACATTGTCCCAACAATTCAAATTGCCTAGAAATATCTTTCTCTTACCTGTTATTTATCAATTTTTCCCAGTATTTTTATACGGAAAAAATTGTGTTGAAGACACTTTGTATGCAGTTGATAAGAGGAATTCAGTATAATTATGGTTGGTGATTATTTTTATATGTACATGCCAACGCTTTACTACTGTGGAAAGACAAGTGTTTTAATAAAGATTTACATTCTATGATGTGGAGGTCATTTCTGTTTTTTCAACATCATGTATTTGGAAAGAAAAATCATCATCTTCATGAGTGTACTTTTTCTTTTCAATTCAACAAGCATTTGAAGAGCCATTGTGTTGGCCTGGGCGTGGTTTCTGCACATGATCCCCTTCCTGGCCTTACAGAAGTACTGATACTTTTTGTCAGTTCGTGTCCTCGGTTGTGGTATTGCCTTACCAGATTTAAATGGATTCAAATGTGTTCTAAGCTTGCTAGCTAGCACTGTTTTTGTTGTTGTTTTGTTTTTTTAGGTTTTTGTTTGTTTGTTTTGGTTTTTGTTTTTTTCGAGACAGGTTTTTTCTGTAGCCCTGGCTGTCCTGGAACTTACTTTGTAGACCAGGCTGGCCTTGAACTCAGAAATCCTACTGCCTCTGCCTCCCAAGTGCTGGAATTAAAGATGTGAGCCACCACGGCCCGGCTAGCTAGCAAGTTTTTAAAAGTATAACCGGAAGTAAGATTTGTTCTCAGTGTGTGTGTGTGTGTGTGTGTGTGTGTGTGTACATACAAGTGTGTGCAGATGCCCATGAAGATCAGAAGGCCAGAAGAGGGTGCTGGGTCCTTTAGAGCTGGATACAGGTGCTTGTGAGGTAGACACTGGGATTTGAACTCATGACAGAGCTGCAAAAGCCCTCACCTCTCCAGCCCTATAGTTCTGTTTAATCGTCACGGGCGGTTGCTTCTTTGAATGAACACCTATTCAAGTAGATCACTTGCAAGGGAAGCAGGATGGCTGAGCTGTTCCAATGACTTTAATGGCAGTGTATAGAGACTCTCTTGGGAACCCTGTGCTATGACATCATTCTAGCCCATCCTGAGTTCAGGTCAGCTGACACTCTGAGTGTCAGTTGAACTCCCAGCTCAGTTTACTTACAGTTGGTCTGCAAAAAGTAATTTCATTTTTAATTAACAAGATTTAGGAAATTTTGAATTTTTATATTGAACGTGGGGTATGTATTGAACATAAGGTTCAATGGCAGAGTACTTAGCTAGACTAAAAACTTACCTTAAAATATCTTGACATTTTAGAATAGTAAACAGTAGCACAGAAAAACAGTAAAAAGTTCATTATTAGTAACTGTTCTGTTGCTGTGAAGAGACACAGCGGCCAATGTAACTTTTATAAAGGAAAGTAATTGGAGGCTTGCTTATAGTTTCAGAGGGTGAGTCCATGATCGTGGTAGGGAATGTGGTTGTGGCAAGCAGGCAGGCATAATGCTAAAGAAGTAGCTGAGAGTTCTACATCCTGATCCACAGGCAGAGAGAGAGAGAGAGAGAGAGAGAGAG